AAAAGTACATTTTCTTTGTCATGATTTCCATCTGGAGGCACTAAAAATATTTAACTTGAATCAGAGACATGACACTCGTATCCATCAACATTATTTTTTGTTCCTCATTTATTTGCTTGAGTTGTACCTTCTCTTGTTCAACAACCACCTTCTCTTGTCCAACATCCACCATTTTTTCCATGAAATCGACTTTTTTCTCCGCCATCTTCTTTTTCTCCTCCTTCATTTCTTCAAACAATTTCACGAAATAGGTTGATCTTGAATTATTGCCTTCAGAGAGTTTGTTCTTTGACTTTCTTGCTCGCTCTTTCGCAGTCTTCCTTCCAGTTGGCCTCTCCAAGCCCCCACTATCATCTCCTATGTTTACCGATTCTAGTGTTGAAAGATTAGAGCTGCTAGGAGTTGTACCACTTTTTATTTTTTGTTTCTTGGACTGAGAATCCTCCATCCATTTTAGGTGATACCCTAACTCATTCCAACAATGTTCAAATGAAAAGGAGGATTTATGAAGTTCCTTGTACACTTTTTTGGCATCACGGACCTGGAAATTGTACAATAATGCTATGTATCATAAAAGAAAAATGTCATATTTTCACACTTGTAATTAAAATACACTCATACCCTGTCTTTCTCAGTCAGATCACTTTGATTCAACCTGTCAATTTGGTCAAAGCAGCCACAAAATTTATTGGTAGCTAGTTGAATTGTTGACCAACGATTCATCAAATAAACTTTATTGCAATTACAATCTAACTGGGGTTTGTATTCGTTGAAGTACTCCCAAACCCTTTGCCAATATTTTTTAGATTTTTATTCATTCTCATGCACGGTATCCATGCTAATATTAAGCTAACCCGAGATTAAAACTAAGTTCTCAATTGAAAAGTTGCCGCCTCGAACCTTTTTTGTGGTGGATTCTATTTGACGTGATATTGGTGAAGAATGACTTATTTAGTCTACTGATTGAGTGTTAAACTCATCTACGTTTGTTCCGTCGTTTAAGAGATTTGTGACGTAATATTCATGTTCATCCATCAGAAAACCTACATTGTTGATGGAAAAAATTCAAAAGAAATGTGCATAAAGGTTCACTGCTAAAATTGGGCAGAAAAATGACTAATAAAAATCATGATGCAAGAGCATTTGAGAACCTGAACAAACACTAAGAAAATAAACCAGTAGTGGAAGATTGTGAACTCATATCCTATTAGCATGCTGCCAGCAGCTCAAATTGAGGGCTTTACTATCAATGATCATATTTCCTAAGAAAATTATTGCTCAACTAGTTAGATGCAGCACATACCAGGATTGAATGACAGGTTTGAGTAGGTCTAGATTCAACATTATATAAATGAAAACCAATAATGAAGCATACCACATTATAGAACCAACTTCATGTTTGGAAAATAATACTTTTGAATTGGGTAGAAAATTCCTCTATTTTAGCAATACTTAGAAAAATAGAGCCAACATTCCTCTATTTTAGCAACAACCAAATCTATCTGAAAAAGAAAGTAGCCATGCTGGTATTGGATGCTTAATATAACTATCATGATATAATTAGCTACCTACTTTAACATAGAATTTTTAACACAGATGCTCCATGTGAAGCAGTTGGGAACCTCTATTAACTAGTACCTATATTTCTTAATTTATTGCAGAAAAAACTAGAACCCACATTGCTCTGCTGCAAAACATAACAAGCAATCAGATTCTAGAAAATACCCATATATCATACAAAGCAATAACTTCTAGCAATATAATGTCCAAAAAACTATCTTTCATACAGATCAATTCATACTGAAGGAGACAAGTTCTCAACATTATGATTTGTATTTTATCAGTTCAATAAATTGACATAAAGAACAAAAAAAAACCATTATAGGAACATATCTCAATACATTGAAACCAGTATTGCCATATATTTCAGTCATTCACTCATAACTCAAATTGCTTATGTTTGCGGTAGAGTTTTTCCAATAGAATTTGACTTGCATAAGATTGATGAACTGAGTCTTTTGCAAAAAATAATAATGATATTTGTACCATGATCAACACATTCTTGGCAATCCAACTAAATCCCAAATTCTCAATCCGAAAAGTTTATCAAAAACCCCCTAAATTGCATTACCTAAAAAAATCCAGTTCTAAACATGTTTATCCTCACATAAACCCTAAAAGATAGCATCAAAACCTAATTGCGACATTCAACGAGTTGTAGCCATAAAGTTCATTGGTGAATTCTATGATATTCAAGGGCTTTTTTGTGATTGAAACGAAGTCAATAATTGCAAATTGACATAAATAAATTTGTATGCTTTGGGAAAGATCGAACCAGTGGGGTTTGTTCAGTGAGAATTTGAGACAGATGTGTTGTATTGCAGAGCTACGATTGACGATTGTTGGCCACGAACAATGATCAACAATGGTGGTAGGGAATCTAGTGAATCCTGGGACGCTCCACCGACGAAGAGAGTCTGAGAGTGCAGGGAGACTTTGATGAGAGAGACGAGTGAGAGACTGAGACCTTTGTATATGGGCAAAACTCTGATGAAGAACAACTAGATTTGGGGGGAGAGAGCTCTGATGAGAGAGAGTGTTGCTAGCCACAATTGATGAGCGAGAATTGAGGGAGGCAGATTAGCGAGTGAAATGGAGAGTTGATTGGAGCTAAATTTTTTAGATTTGCTCAGCAAAATAACTAAAAAATGTCAATTTGTAGTTCAGCTGTTAGACATTAAGGTTACGGGTTCGAACTTTATCATCCTTTTTACTGTAATAATGATTTTGTCTCCTTCATGCTCTGTTGAAAGTTGTATAACTTACACCTAATTTCATTGAGGAAATATTAAATCTATTAAAATCAAGGTTATAAGTATGACAAAGTATAATGTTGAAAGAAGGGTTTACATATTGATGGCCATTAATTTTGAAAAAAAAATGCACAATGTAAAAGCATTTCCAAGAATACTCTTTATTTTAGAGAGCATATTTTTTTAAAATAGAGAGAGTATTTCATAAAATTTTAAAATAGAGAGTAAAATATTCTTGACAACTCCAATGGCTCTCTATTATTAATTTTTGTAGGATTTATTTGTTGATTTGTTTTAATGGTATCATCGTTGTAATGAATATTTTCTTCTAAAATAGAGAGTTGAGTAGAAATAGAGAATCCCTTAAAGTTACTCTAACAACTAAAATATATTTTTTTTATAATCAAATTTAGACGGGAAAAGGGACAACGAGGACCAAACTCTCATATCCAAGATTAAAATATGTTTTGGTCAATGCCTCAACAATAGAGTCAAAAAAGTATGGGCTTTAGGCCTCACATATAAAAAAGACCCAAAATTTTAGAGTTCAATAATAAAGTATAGATAAAATATTAAAATTCATTATAATTTAGCATAACAAAAAAACTCTTGAAAGACTGCGTCAAAAAAAATAAAATTTAAAATTTATGTTCAAAAGTGTAGTCCACGTCACACATACACATTTATTAAAGGACAAAAAAAGAATAACACTTCAATAAAAAAATATAATAAGTATCTCTCTTGTAAAAAAACACCATTTATTAAACTCAACTTTGTTTTCATTTAAGCACAAAAATAAATTGTTCATTCTCATAAAGGATCCACAATAAAAACTAGTTAATATACAAAAAATTTCAATAATGTTTAACATATATTAGATGCTTAAATTACTAAAAAAGAAAAATTATGTGACACCACATTGTAATATTGAACATCTTTATTGTAATAGTACCTTATAACGGTCAATGAAAAAATGCATAAAATATAAAATAATACATATATTACTTTTAATTCTTGCGTATTATCCAGTAATTAATTTGTTTCACTTAATCGGTTTCATAAAGGAAGACTTGACAGTGAGAGACGAGCAAAAACTATAATTGTTGTGAAATGCATAGATACTTTAATCTTTTAAATAAGAGGAGACATAACAGGCGCCGCCCTAGGGGCCGGCCATTAAAATAGTCGCTTAGAACCTAAAAAATTTAGAGATGTAATTTAATTTTTTGCCGATTGTTTAGCTTCAAGTTTTGAGGCCCCTTTTGAAAGAACCAAGTTAAATGTCAAATATAATTCACAAGTCTATCTAAAGCGTTATAGAAAATTTTTAAATATAATAATATTTTCACAAGTGTATGTAAATCTTTATAGATAGTCTTAAATATAAAAAGTCTTCTAAAAAAATTTAAAATTAATGACTTCTACTTTTAAAAGTAGCTATCTCTCAAATTATTTTCATTAATTTTTCCTCTACTCCCACTACTTCTCTCCAACTCTTTCTCTCCCTTCAATTTTCATAGTTTTACTCTGATTTTTTGTCCGTATCTTTAGTTATATTTTTATTTCTTTAAAACCTTATTCATCTATAATATATTGACTTCAAAATTACACTCAATTTATTGTTTGATCCTACTCAATCCAAAACCACTAAAATTTTGAAAATAAATCATACCGTAAATTCTTGTAAAATATTTTTTCGCGTTAGACATCAAATTGTGGTGGACCGCCCTTGATTTTGGTCATACTCATGCTTTTGCACTCGAATAATATTATATTTTGCACATTGTACTTTTTCAAAAAATATATTTTCTTTTGTATATGGAGAACTTTTCAATTTCTTATTTGATAGAAATGTAAACTTGAGATGAATTTTTTTGATCTTTGTAACGAATAAGTATAATCAAATCAACAAATTTTATAAATGCCTATTTAATGACAGATGGATAGACAAGGTCGGAAAAATCAACAAGTTTGGAAAAAATCTCGAACTCCATTTGTCAAATTGACCCTCAAAAATGCTTTGACTAAATGTTCGCTCGCAGTGTGATATGCTCTCATATTTGTTAAAGAAACTTTATTTCTCATATTGATCTGTCTTTAGAAACTTAGTTTCTCATTTCCTATGGTATCCATAGGTGCATAACTAATGTTGGTTGGTTTGGCAGTTGGAGACATTCAAGAGAATTGATGCAGTCCTTAAACGATGATAATGCATCTGTAAGATTGCCCTTGCTCTACCAATTCTTTTTGTTTGTGTCCCTTATGGTTTAAGTTTTTTGCTAGTTTTCCTGATCTTATTATGTCAGTGTAATTCATATGGATCATTTGTGACAACAAAACTCTCTCTCTCTCACAACAGCAAGCTGATACTGTGGATATTGGAACCTATGACCATTCAATTCCAAAAGCCTATCCTGTGAAAGGTGATTGACTCAAGTTTCAGTTTTATTTTTTGATAATTTTCTGATGCTTAGTAACTAGCTAACTGCTCTATCGTATTTGCAATCGATGAACTTACCTGGGTATTTGACTTCTGCTTGCTATCTGGTGGTGAATGTGGTATTACTTCCCCATGTCTTACCTTGCAGAGGAAGAGTCAAATGGCTACATGACACAACAATCCTTCAGCGGCTCCAGTCATAGTTCGAATATTACTGATGATGGTTTTTGCCATACCACCTGGGTTTGGTCTGTATTGTATTTGCCTGCGTATCTGATTTCATGATGTGATGTAAGTCAATTTTTTGATGACAGCCTCAAAGCAAGCTGGGCAAAGGTTTTCTATGACCCCTTATATGACACCTCGGCTTACTCCAACAGCAACTCCAAGAATAAATTCCACTAGTGTGTCCCCCAGAAGGTATTCAGCTGCCGGATCTCCTCAGAAAACCTCTGGTACCAATTCTCCAATAAAATCTCAATATGAAGGACGGGGTACACTTTCTTCATGGTACCCGTCAAGCCAGCAGTCATCAGCTGCAAACTCTCCTCCACGTGGACGCCCAATGCCAGGTTTGGAAGATCTATTGCAAAATCCAATTTGACTTAAAGCTGCTTTGATATTAAAACTTACTTCTGTTTCTTTTGCAATCTTTTGGTAAAATTTGTCCACATTCGTCCCTCCTACAAAAGCATAGTTTTTACACTAATGCAGCCACCGAGGGTTGATGTACTCTTTCTGAGTGTCTAATGCTTTTTTCAAATTTCCTATGTAGATTATAACTTTTTTATTTATTTCCTTTTGTTCTTCGAAATTTGAAGCTCGTACTCCTGTATATCCAGCTATTGGTCTATGACTACCTCAGTTTTGAGGGTCCTTTTACCTGACAGTTTCTCTATGAATATCTAATCCAGGAGTCGTTTATCCTATGAGCAATTCAGTGCATTTCTAGCTAACATAAAAGAATTAAATGCTCAAAAGCAAACCCGTGAGGTGATCAGCATAGTAAATGATCATATTCTATGACATAATCCCTGAATTACACTCTGATGTTGCAGTCTAAATCTGTTGTGGTCTTCTTGTTGAATGAATGAACAAATAATTCATATTTTGTGCTTTCAGAAAACTATGAGAAAAGCAAAAGAGATTTTTGGGACGAATAACAAAGATCTTTACCTATCATTTCAAGGGTTGCTTTATCGCAACATAAACTAAAAGTATCTCAGCTGGAAATGGTTTGCAATAATAGGTTTGTCTATCCATCTGTCATTATTTGTAGTCCTTGGAATTCCGACCTTGTTCTTTATCTTTTTTCAGGGTTATTTATTTTTTAATGCGTATTTAATGAATTGTATCATATCAAACTTATATCGTGCATAATCATTATATAAACGAGTTGTATAATACTCCTATATTTATTTTTAATTAACTTTATAATATTAAATTTATTTTTTAATCATATCACTTCAGATCGATGAATCTGCTCATTTATAAAACAGATAACTTATAAAAGACTTAAATTTTTTAATACCATATCGGATCCCTGTTATATTTAGAGGGTTGAATCTTACCCTGACCCGGAGGAATCCTCATTCCGTGCGCATATAACCGATATGCAACTGATGCAAGTCTTCTATAACCGACCCAAACCATCGAGGGTATTATAGTAATTTCAACATAAAAAGGTGCCATCTATAATACTTCCGTATTCAGAATACGAGCCGTCTTGCTTCAGTACACACAACCACCCCCCCGCCTCTCTCTCCCGCCCGCCTCTCTCTGCGCTAGCGCAGCTCAAGCCCTCCGTCGACGCCTATTCCCTCGCCGGTGGTTTCTTTTCTTTTCTTTGTATTTTCCGCCCTTAAATGTCTCCTCCACTGACTAAGCCATTCAAACTTGGTCGTCTTCTTCTCTCTTGATACTCAGTTACAGAGCGCTCTGGTAATCTCTCTCACTTACTCTCAAATATATGGCACAGGAGTATATCGAACTTCGTGAATCTTTATCTCATTGTGCTCTTGATATTGGTTTTTGGGGTTTTCGCTACCGTGGTTTTGAGGCAAAATCTCTGGGCATTGGTTATCTTGAACTCTTTACTGTTTATGTTGAATCTGGATCGTTCTTTTCTGACGACCATCCAATGAGTTTGTTCTGCTTTTGCATGTTACCCATCTTTTTGCGCGGTTTTGATTTTGATGCAAACGAGTTTAGGAATGTACTAACGCTATCTTCTTCTTTTTCTTTTTTCTTTTTTCTTTTCTATATTAAGTTATAGCATTCTTCGCTGTAAAACGTTTTTTTTTTACCACTCTATAACTGGTTGGTGAGGCAGCCTGGACTCTGTACGTAACACTGCTAAATGGAGTTAGGGTTTTGAGTCTTTTTATTTGAATTAGACAGTACTGAGCCTTACACGCTTCCTATTTTTTGGCTTTACTTGGGGTTGTAGTTGGTATATCCGATTAGATGGTACTGAGCTGAGTCCTTGGACACCGAGGATAAGTTTTTGGCTTCGCTAGGGGTTGCAGTTGTGGTATCGTTTGCACTTTTATAGTCCAAATGCAGGAGCAGCTAGGCTGAAATTTGTTTTTTTTGGTCTGGGCATTATCTCTCACTTTATATGTGTGGTGTGTTCACGGCATTTAATGGTTTATTTCCTTGTTCCAAATAATTATTGGCCTTTGAGGAATGAGGATGGCCATGGCCCGGGCCATTGTTTTTTAAAAAAAAAATTAAATATCTATTTGTTTTATTTTTTATACAAAAATTAAAAAGATTGAATATAAATTTTTTTCCAGGATTTTGGCCAAAACCTATGGCCCAAGTCTTGCAACAGCGTTGGGCACTTTATTGGGCCTGCTCGTGGGCCAAATACTAGCCCATCCCCTTATTTTTTGGGGCTGGGCCACCTGGGTCGGTCGGATTGCCCGACCCACCCCCCATTTATTGCAACTAGTCATTGTTTTTACCATTATTCAGATTTACAAAGGGTTTTTAATTTTTGAAATTTACTTGTAACACCAATATTTTATGCTTGCTTGCATTGCAAGTCATGTACAAATTCATGTTTTAGGATTTGAGTTTTTTGTTGTATATGTAATTTAGGTCAATTCAGTAAGTTATTAAGCCAATGATTTTTATCTGCAAGATTATACTAGTAGAGCATCAGATAAGGTGAAATTTTGATCAGCAAGCAAAAAATATAGAAGATAACTGGTTCAATGTTTGGACTTTAGAGTTATATTTTATATAGTGGATTTTATTTTCTTTTATGTGATGCATGAAAGCTGAGGTATGGCTTTTGTTTCTGCTGGTGTTTGTATTAATGGATTATCATCTGGGGCAGTTCAAATTTTCTTGATCAAATTGTAGCCTATGTTTTTCCAAAAGAAATGGTATTAGCACTTCATAATATGCTTCAGATGCACAGTCTATTTTTTTTTTTTCGAAACGTGACATAACTTCATGATCCTTTTTATGACATTTATGGTGGCCTAAGATCCAATATGCAGAGACTTGTGTGGTTTGGGGCCTAGATATAGATCTACAAAAGTGAGGTAGGATGCCAAGCGTATGTACTTAGGCTCACATGGCCAGGAGAGGAAAGAATGTTCAGCCATTTATGTGATAGCCTTATCTTTGTCTTCAAAGCACATTTTGAAAATTATGAGCCTACAGGCAACTTGTGCAATAACTTGACACTGGTTTTAAGGGCAGTATGTAATACCTTGTCCACTCTTCTAGATTTGGATGAAGCACATCGTTGTCATTTCAAATGCCTGAAAAAAGAATAGATGGAGTGTAAATTTTTTTTTGGTGGAGTGCTACTGTCATCCTTTATTCTAATGGATGAGAAAATAGAATTATCATAAAATCGAAATGTTTTCATTTTTTAGTTTAATACTCTGTGATGACAACACACAATAGTTCCCTGAAGACAGAAATTCTGATGTATATGTTCTTAGTATGTGTCAATAGGACAATAGATTTTTGTTCACATGGATGTATGTGATGCTACCATATTTTTTGTTGCTAACATGGTTATGCATGGCACCCTTATGCTGTCATTATTAGTACACTATGTTGATGCATTAATATTTTGACTTGTTTTAAACAATTCAAACTGATAGATGATGCAAAAATGATTCTCTCTCAGATGGAGACAAGAAGAGTTACTGCTACTTGATACTTGAAAGTACCAAACAGGTTTGCACTACATGTTTCATTTTTGTACACGATATCAAATTCCTCTAAATTTTTTCCTAATCCTATCATTGCTAGGAAATATAAAGGGTAAATTATAGTGAGGCCCCTTGGAATTTCAAACAGATGCAAATACACCTTATGAAATTACTGTTGGATTAGGACCCTTGATAGAGTTACAATATTTATACTTTTCCTTCTCTGTTGTTATAGGTTTTTAAAAACATATCCTAAGCACTAATCATGTTACCAAACAACCTAATGCAACTTCTGCACAACCTTAACTTAGTTACCAACAACGTTAACTTAGTTACAAACAACCCCAACGAAAAACCCATTTGCACCTGCAAGAACAATTGAAAAAAAAAATATAAGAGAGAACGACAAAAACAACTACCTTTCCTCTGGTTCTCATGATGAAAAAAAGAAAAACAATCAATTAATCCTTTATTTTGCCATATTTTTGTAAAATATTAATAGAAAATTGATGACCAATTTTCATGCGTGAAAGAAAAATCAATCTACACAAGCAAGTAGATAAGTTTTGATGGGTGCCATGTAGGCATTGGAGTTCTAATTATTGGCGGTGATGAAGCAAAGAGGTTGGTGGAGGTGGCCATGATGATGGTGGGATGGTAGTTTCATGAGTTGTTTGATCTCTGAGAGAGAGGATTGTGGGTGTTGGCTCAAATAATTGTTTGACCTTGGTAAGTACAAAATTAGTATTTGATAAAAATCAAAAGATGATGTCATCAAATTTCGTCATTGACAGTGACTTCTTTGGGAGAATATGTAGAATATGTCACAAACATTCTAACCAGGATGGGTTTGGTGTAATTTCTGAAACAAAGAGGGGGTGTATCCAAGGTTTAAAGTATCGACCGAGTCCGATACGACTCGGCCTCTATTGAAACGCTAACGATAAACGTTACACTAAATCTTCAAGTCTCACTTGAATCAGCCTTGACTCGGAGATGACTTTGTCAACTCGGTACAACTTGGACTTAACTCAGACTGACTTGTAACCGAGTCGAGCAATTTGTGTGTGATGTTACAATCGAGCAATTTGTGTTGAAAATCACACAAACTGGTCAGAAACAACAAACCACATGGCAAAACGGTAGAAGGACAAGAAATAAAAAGTCACACGAAAGATGAAAAAATTTATGAGAAACCCAAATGCAAAGCAAACTACGAGCAATTTTTCAGTTTTCCACAGAGTACCCATATGATATTCTACAAGAAGAAGAAGAAGAAGAAGAAATTGCAAGCAAACCTAGAAAACCAAGCCCCTGCAATTGCAAGGGAGTCTTGCTCTCCTTCGTCATCGTCTTCTTCTTCAGTTATTTCCTTAGTCTTCACTTTGTGACAATTGATTGCAACTAGGCCCAGTAACTAGAGCTCTGATAATACTTCGATTTCCATTCATATGTCGCTGAGGTCTCTCTCTCTCTCTCTCTCTCTTTTACCAACCGACTGACATATGAGAGGCTAAAGGGAGGGATCCTTTAAATGGGTTTTTTTCGATAAGTAGGATTGTTAAATGTTATTAGGTATATTATTCAATAATTAATTGTTGGTATTCTTCTTTTGTCTTTTCGGTAACCGAGTAGTTATTATATGGTGTATATATTGTAAACATTTTTTTATCAACTAAAACTAACTCTTAATTGATCTATTGCATTATAATGATATATTAAATTAATCAATAATAATATTTTTACCCTTATATTTTATTTTCACAAATGTTTAATGTGAAAGATATATTTTAGACATATGATGCATAGATGATGATATATATATGTTGTAATTTTTTATGATATTTTTAAAAAAATTTGGACTCTCTATCTAGCGTTTTGAGCATATCGGCCGAATCCGCAATCAGTGTATATCAGTGCCCTTCGAGTTGAAGGTCGATGCTACGACTTTGAACCATGGGTGTATCTACCATTGTTAGAAACTCTAAATGTCTTGGTGTAATTCACCAAGATATAAAAGTGCTATAAATTGAAACTGCATCTAAAGTGTTGGCGAGAAACTCCTGTTAGACAAAACACTAACTTCAATAAGAAATAATCATTTTTTTTTTTGCTTGAAGTTGTTAATTTCTATTAAACAAACGAGTTGTTGAAAGTGAATCAGAAAAGTTGATTAGTTATGTATTTTATTTGATATGATAAAATGTGGTTATCATTTAAGACTACCTCACCCGTTAAGCTTCCCTATATTACCTTTTTGGTTAATCCGTCTACTGTATAACTGCTCTCATTTTCCATGCCACCACAAATTATGTTCTAGGCAATGCTCTTGCATACAAGAGTAAGGTTTTAGGTAATAGCGTATGGAAAATTGATTTTTTTTTAGAATGACACTTTCTGATGCAAACCAAAGTGCATGATTATGGTTTCCTGGATATCCAAATTTTAAGATTCTGACTCAAGAGTGTGTGACGCTTATCTTTCGCAAAAACTGACATAGAAAGTGGGGATGGTTGGACATTTGCAACTCTTAGTTACTGAGAAATAAAATAGCTTGGTAAGGAAAATTTATTCACCTGTGGTGAAGACTTCAGATTGGATTACTTGCTAGTTCCATCTTGCTTGTAGGTCGATGGCTTGAAATGTTCTCACATGTAGTTCTGAATAACTCAAAGGGCTGTCTTTCTTTCTTTCTTTTTTTTTTTTTTCTTTTTTTTAAATTTAGTTTGTGCTGATTTTCATTGTCAGTTCCTTTTATCTTGAACAACAAAATGTGCGTATTTTTTTATGTTGATGTATGACACGTTATCACAGGTTCCACAATGTGTGATTTGGGTTTGGAAATATGCAAGGCACCTATAGAAGGTAACTGCTCCTTGTTCTTCTCATCCCTTTCTTGTAGTTGAGTAAGCAATAGATAAAACTATCAGATAGTTCTGTTCCAATTGATGTTAGAATTAGACTAATCCTCCATATGGATGTACGGATCCTTGAAGAACTATTGATTCACTAAACTATTGAAATACCCTTCCTCAAATACATAATTACACTATTCTCCTTTAAATTTTTAATAAATTCAAATAGATAACTATCTCTTCAGATAAATATTCTTTAATAACTCAAAAAAAAAAACATAAATATTCTTGTGTTTCCAGTAATTGTTTTGACTTCCCCTACTATTTAACAGTTGGTAACAAATTCTCCTATTTGGTACTGGACACGGTGTTATTTGATGACATGAGGAGCATCACTTTCGTAAATACCAAACATATCTTTGAAAAGACCTTGGATAGGTTCTTATACCCAAAAATACTTAATGTCATTCATATAATGTTAATGTGTATATGTATTGTTTGCTATTTGTGTTCTTATTTGTTTATCTCTGTGTAGCTCTATATATTTATCTACTTATAAATGGATATGTGTGTATCTATCTGAATGTACGTGTGTCTATCTGGGTAGCTATACATAACAATAGGTCGTTTGCATTGATGGATAAAGGATAGAATTTGCTTAAATGAAAAAAAATAGGTGCATATTTTTTTTAAAAAAGAACTTCTCTCATTTTAAACAATAGATCATTTGAAGTTAGGCTCAGCTAACACATTTGCCTGATATACCTGAAGGGGAGGTTAATATTGTAAATATTGAAAATCAGAAAGACCCTTGTAATTAAGCCTAACATCAGGGAAAAGTATAATTTTTGAACCTCACTATAAACAAAGCCAAGAAATAAAAACATGAAAATTTATTTTTGTCAGGTTCTTATTAGTAGATCTATTTCTTAATTATATAATTCATGATACAAATACAAACTTGGTAAATAGGAGATGAGGAGATGACATTTAAGTTCATCATAGATACACTTTATGTTGTTTTAGGTTAATTTACATATTTTGCAACACACTTGGTGCAATACTAATTGGAAAAAGTGTCAATATCGGGCTGGCTAGAGGGTGTTGATCTTATATTATGGTATTCTAAACGATGTAATGCGTAACTATGATTTTGACAATAATGTTTCTGTCTACCAACTTTATAAGTTCTCTGTCCAGTCATATGGCAACATCTAGAGTGTTCTTCTACAAAGAGGGTCATGTCATTTCTTTATATTTGGAACGCTCAAATGTTTTTCCTTTTGTTATTTATTTTTCTCTGAATGCATTACTACGCTAACACTCAATTTCATAGGTGGTTTCTCACGTTTTCTTGTGCTGACGAAGGATCAAAAGACCATATGTCGGACGCAGTGCCATAATCCACCCATTGCAATGTATGAATACCTTTGGCTCAGTATGTCTGTTAACTTGGTTTTCTTGTGTAATAATTGTAATTTTCTTAATTTATGTTCATTTTTAGAACATTTCAGTAGGTCTTTATCTGGATTCTTTAAAGGATGGCATTGTCAAATCTAGTTTTGAACCTTCTGGGAGCATTGTTGTGGAAATTACAGAAGTCAATCTTCCATTCTATACCATTTTTTCTGGCTAGGAGAGGACCAAGCAACTTGAGCTTGTCTCAGTTATGATGTTCACTTATATTATTGCTTTTTTGTAAAAAGTAAACCATGCCTTTTCACTCCTGAAACAATTTAGTCCCTGGAACTCGGCATGAGTTTGGTTCATAAGCTAATGAACATCTCACACAAGGATGTTTTGAGTTGTTTTGTAATGTTTCGACTTTCGAGGCATTTTGGGATATTACCGTTGGCTTTTGTCCGTGTTTTCTTTTCCTTGTTGATTGCATTGTTGAATATAATGCTCAAGGACTGCATTGCTTTATTCAGGCCCCCAGTTTTGGACATATCTGAGTTTGTACGACAGACCACAATTGATTTTCTTTCTGGATTACCTCAGTGCTTTCTCCAGCCTGCTTCTGAAAATTCTCAGCAGGAGAAAGAGTGGGGACTGTTCTTGAGTTTTCTACAGAAGAACAAGAAGGTGAAGGTTTATTCTTCAAAAGCATGAGCATTCAATTTTACATGAATTCTTCTGTTGTGAACAAATATCGCGCCAATGAGGATTCATTTTATTTGCTTGCCCATGTTCTGGCTTGCTTAAAGATGCTCCTGCTCAAAGGTGGCAATAGGAATCTTTTCCCTAGTTATTCAGGGGTAACTGTCAAGGATGTTTTAAGTATTAAAATAGATTTGATGAAAAATGGTTATGAAAATGTGGCCAATTTGACCTTTAAATATATTGGTTGTTATGCTGTAAAATGCATTGATAAGAAAGCTGTATTGAGATATTGCATCTGAAAACATGGAATTGTGATTATTTTTGACTTTTTACGGTGATGGCATTTGGAAGAGATTAAAAGGGCAGGTTATGTTTGTTTTCAAGTATTTTTAGCATCCCTTTAACTTAACTTTTTCTCTGTGTGTGCTTTCTCTATCATTGCTGTCTTAAAGAAATGAATATTTATTGAGAAAATGAAGAGGAATCTTTCTCTATCTCTTACAAGTTTTTATTGCTTTTCAAGGTTGCTATTGCTAAAGTTGAATTCTATGAGTTTTACATAGTTCCCCCTTGTGATGGCGCCAAATTCTGCCATGTCCCTGTGTTATATCGGATAGAGAAGAAACAACAGAGCAAATCAAGTGAGTTTCCCCAACTCACTTTCCCTTTTGTGGTGGCGTGACTATGTGTTCTTTCTGGCACTTCAAATTGTATAGATGATTCAAATTTGAACAGTCCGTTCAGTTTTGCAATGCATATACACATTTTTTCTTCTTTTAATTTTGGTTAGGTGTATACAATGAATCAAGAGCTGAAGCTTGTAGCAGACTTGCAAGTAGTGCTGTGGGACCGAGTAAGACATTGGAGAGAAATTATGTGCAAGCAGATCCAAGTTATTTGAAAACTCTTGGTCAAGCACATTCAAGCTGGATTTTTGGTGCAGTTGCCGAGCTCGTTGACAATGCAAGAGATGCCAATGCAACCATGTAGGTTTGATTGCTATTTTCAATGTTAAATGTTCCTCCTTTTTTGAAAATTTGATAGTTTCTTGCTTTTCGCTTTTCCTACAACTGTTATAAAGCCTTGTTTTTTACTATTTTTGACTTATGCTCAGCTGCTGCTAATTCTTATTTTCCTGACCTGTTATCTGTGGGCCATTCACAGGCTGGAAATCTCTATCGATATGATCTATTCACAAAAGGATGACAAAGATATTCCTATGTTGTCAGTTATCGACAATGGCCATGGGATGACTCATCAGGAGATTGTAAGAATGATATCATTTGGGCATTCGCAACCTGATGCTGATGACCCTGATCGCATTGGCAGATTTGGCATTGGATTTAAGGTAGCCGTTTTATTTTCTGTCTATTTAATTTGATAAGTTAGCCTCATCTTATTTATAGCTGTGCAAAAGGAGTTTTTCAAATGTCATGGTCATCTTGGTTTGATAGTACAAAGTTTTAGCTTGACAATTGGTCATAATCATGTCGTTAATTCCGCTATACTGGACGCAGTGTCAACTATCCAGGTTATTATAGTTGAAATAGTAATTGTAGTATTAGGGTTAGTGTAACACTCCGACCCGGCCTTATTCCGATAATATAAAATACATACACCACATACTTGTTGTGGAAACCTATCTTTGAGATTTATAGGCCATCGATGGCAAAACGACACCGTTGACTTCTTATACAAAAGTTCAAATATAAAAGTACGTTGGTCCAACACTTACTAAATATAAACATAAGGGTTACACCAGAGCGAGCACACCGGCCCGATACCATACGAAGTAAATACAAGGTAGGTGCATCTATAACATTTAAAAGTTAAGTATACATGACTCCTCTTGACTCAATCTCTAACTTTGGCAGTGGGACGTCAGGCCGGTGAACTAAAATTACTGAACAAGTTTAAAGAAAACTCCGGTGAGTACTCAATTGTATCACAAAAAAAAAAAATAGTCAACAAATATTATAAAGTATTAAACCAACCACAGAAATACAGTAACAGCAGTTTTGTAATTTCTCTTACAAAAATCTGTTTCGAAAACTCAACGGTATCACAGTGGGACGTCTAGTTTCGCCACTTAGACAACATACCCACAAAATTCAATCGGTTTAAGGATGCAATCCGACATCTAAACATTTTATTCCCCGTCACTGACTTCCATATTTCGAACAAGCTGTGATTGTCGACGACTTTCGTTCTCGTCACCTAAACGATTTGGCTGCAAAACTTCATTCATCACTTAGATATTTTAAATGCTCAAACTACTTCCGGTCACTTAGATCGTTCCACTTGATAATTAATTTTCATCACTTAGACGATCTTATTGCTCAAATGTTCTTACGTCACGAAGACTCGTGTCTCGTCAATTAGACGGTTTTATGTCTCGTCATTCAGACGGTTCAATGTCACGTCATTCAGGCAGTTTCATGTCTCTTCTTTTCAGATGGGTCAATGCCTCCTCATTTAGATAGTTATATGTCTCGTTATTCAGACAGTTTCATGTCTCATCATTTCAGACGGAAACATAGCGCGAAAAGTTAATCCCCGTTACGTAGACGCCCGTCACCCAGACGACTCCACTACGTATTCAAACCTTGTCACATAGACGCTCGTCACTCAGACATCTCAATCACATAATCGAACCCTATCACGTAGACACTCATCACATAGACGAATCGCCACCTAGCAACCAATGTAGTCCCAAAACAGCCGGTGTTCTAATCTATGTTCTTAATTCCATTCTTTCCGTCATAGGGATGGATTTCAACTAACTAAACCACGAAGGCTCACTAAATTCTTCCACAACCTAACTAAATTATCACCTTTATGCATTAAAAATCACAAACCAAATTTGTAATATTATCAATCTAATAACTTAATTACCTAAATATAAAAAAGATTGTAGGATAGTTCACCTACCTTGTGCAAAGCTCTACCATGTGGATGACCCTTCTGCTAGAGCCTTTTATGCGGCGTTTCTCGTAGTGTTCGTCTCCGAACCAGCCACACTCAGTGTCCACAATTTCATTCAAACACATAACATCAATTGAGTTCGAGATAATTTACTCGAACCAATTTTAATATTTGCATCAGATCGTTTCACATAATTCATTCGTTTCAAATAATATTATCTACTCCAATTGATTTTTCGAGTCGATAATATTGTTCAAATATACGGTACATTGAGTAAAATTCTTTTAAATTAAATTAAGCTAACCTTTTCGAATTCATTACCGTAATATTTGTACGAACTCAAAACACCCAACTGTATTTTTTCCATAATATTACCATTTCCCACAAAATATACTCGAATCTACATAATTCCCTATGATATTATAAAGTATACATATATCCTTGCAATTTCATACACCCACGAATTCAAAGCTTTCAAGAAATATTTTTACACCATTGCTAGATTACCCACTAAACCATTACCTCCCTTAATTTAAATTCTACTTTTATACAACAATCTTATTTTCTTGAATTTCATTTTAACAATTTATTAAACCATTACTACACCTTATTTTCTATAAGGTGTAGTGGGGTATGTAACACTTTATGCTACATACCCACCTACACCTTATATTAATTTCCTTACCAAAAACCATGATATTATACACACATAATCAAAAATCATTTTAACATCTACATGCAACAACCTACTATATATATAAACAAAATTCTCAAATCTCAAGTAATTCTCAACATGCATGCTTAACTAATTTTCATACCATTTCATCAAAATATTCTCGAATTTACATAATTCATTGCCTCTTACACCACCATAATACCACCACCCAAATTCTTTTCCTCTCTTTCCTTTCTTTTTTTTTTCTTCCTTTCTTGGTCTTCCTTGTCTTAGCCGAAAATAGCTTTGCCTATTGGGTTTTGCCTTAGCCGAAAATATATATGTCTTGAAGAGTCCTTTTTTTTTCCTTTTCCTATTATATTTTCCTACGCTTGCACAATGATGACATTCCCATTTCTTCTCTCTCCCAAACCGTGACTTTTCCCTCTCCTCTTCCTAGCCACCCATTTTCCTTGAAACAAAGACCCCCATGTGCTTGCATGCATTATATATATAGATATATATGTATATATATACCATCCATATATTTATATATATATAGACTTTACACAATTTATTTATATATACATATATATCCTTGTGTACACTTACACACACACACACATATATTATAAGCTTTGACCCATCTCTTGTGCACACTAATTTATTTTTTTTTTTTAATACTCAAATTAATATCACATGCTCTCCAACCCACTTAATCCCATGTGTACTAACATATATCAAGTAAATTAATTATATCATATGTAATATACCCATTTAATTATCCCACACCTAATCAATGTTCTATTTTGAATTAGTAGGTACCTATCGAGCACAGTCATATGACATAATCACACTCGTAATAGATATTTACGTGGTCGTCATGCATATTCATACTCATAATAATTATTTATGTGATCGTCATATGTATTCTGGTTTTACAGTTAGGGTTGCAAGAGAAAGAGAGAAAGTAAAGAGAGAAGAGAGGAGAGAATAATTAGTGTTGTAGTTGTTACCTTACACACTCTATTTATAACCGAGCAATATTAAGGTAATATTACCCTAAACTAATTGACTTATGTCTAACATAAAAACTAGGAACTCTAACACTCCTCCCAAGTTGGAGCATAAAGATAAAACAATGGTCAGCTTGAAACATAACTACTGAAGGTGGGCCGGGCCAATGGTTGGTAAGAATATCATCCGGTTGATCACTTGACTTAATATATGGAGTGATGATCTCCTCTCGCATTAGGAGATCTCTAATGAAATGGCAATCCACCATGATGTGCTTGGTGCGCTTATGAAATATTGGATTACTTGTGATGAAAATAGTTGTTTGATTGTCACAATGCATGTTGGGTATCACACAAAGTGATAATCCATCATTTACCTTCTAATGTGGTCATGCTCTTATGTTATCTCTTTTTGTTTCTCTGTCTCTATCATGTGTTTTATGCTACATCTTCTGCCTCTTAACCTTTCAGGGTGCTTAAACTAAAAAAGATTAATTAGCATCAATGAGCTCAATTATTGTATCATTTTGCAAACTATTAAGTATATTTTACTAAAGAGTTGATTGCAAGAGGTTATTTCGTACATGCGATGCAAGTTGTATCAGATCATTTCTATTCCCTATTAAAGCTCTTTTTTGGATTTAGAAAAAATAAGAAGAGCAATCACTTTGTTCAAACAGGGAAGATACAAGTATAATGGCATATTTTTTTTGTCTATAGTTTTTAGCGTGCGTGAGAACTTTTAAGGCAAGAACATGAGATGCGCTCTGTTAATATTTTCGGGTGTTAAGTTATCTATTAAATTTTTTATGAAGTCTCATTACAATGGATATATAGCATTATTAATATTTCTATTGAATTTCCTTTCATCATGTTCAATTTGGAAAAAAAATCATATCTAAGAAATATCTCTCCACTACTCTACTATTTTCTGTACAAGTTAGGACTCCGGATAAACTAAATCGAAGTTGGTGAGATATGCCAAATGTGTTTTGTTTCTCTTTCGATCTTGATTTCGGATCTCTATTATATTTTATGTTGTAGTGTCCATGATAATTTTGGAGTAATGCATTGCATATTTTGTTGATTTGGATGTGGTGTTGTCAGACTGGGGCAATGAGACTTGGCAAGGATGCTTTGGTTCTTACGCAGACTTCTAACTCCAGATCGATTGCTTTTCTTTCACAGGCATTGAATGAAAGAAAAGATGTATGCAACTACCACCAAAGACATCTTGTTTTTGATTAAATTGCTGTCTCTCTCTCTCTCTCTCTCTCCCAAGTTTGAATTATTTTCCTTTTGTTACTTCTTATGCTGTAGAATTTGGAGATCCCCATTGTGAGCTACCGCAGAACAGGACAGTTTATGGAAGTGGATACAAGTGTCCAAACCGAGGCTTTAGTGAAGTACAATCTGAAAGCTATTAAAGATTTTTCACCCTTTAATAAGTATCTTATTGGTGAAAAAGCAGGCCTTTTCCATGCGAAAGGCACAGGAACACAAATATACACATGGAATTTGGATGAGTGGGGATCAAATTATTGCCTGGAATGGGACAATGGGATGAGCGGCGGGAGTTCCTTCCACCAAGGTGACATACTCATTCGTTCCAGACGGATCAGATCTCGTCCAGGCCAAATGTCTCGAATGGTTGGACATCCTCTTCTAGCGGCTTACATATATTAACATCCTATTTTTAGCTTAGTTTTGTGTATTGTTTGCTTTAAGGTGCCTTTGGACTATTCACTTCGATCTTATCTAGAAGTCATCTTCTTTGATCCCCGAATGAAGATCTATGTTCAAGGATCCCTGGTATGGAAATGCCTATATATCATTTTGTTGTGCTAGATTGTGTCATCCCATGTGATTTGAGCTGGTCCAGTTTTTTTTTTTTTTGTTATATTCTTTGATAGGTTAAAAGCAGACCACTAGCAAAATCTTTGAATAAGACTGTTGTGGAAAATGGTGTTATCATGGAAAAATCAGTTCAGCTCACTCTTGGTCGTTGTCAATTAGAATGGGAGCAGGCAAATTGTGGAATTTTTTTGTATTGGCATGGCCGTTTGATTGAGGTGAGTTTTGTCTGTGTGCAGTTATGTTTAAGCTTAATATCCTATGGGAAAAATTGACTGTTCTTGCTGTTACCTTTTATTTTTCCCAACCCATTTCTAGTCCTGCTATCATTTCATTATCTTTTGTTTTGTGATATTTGAAGGAGCAAGAGCAAATATTCACAGAAGAATTTGAATTAATGTTACCTTATTTTTTTTGGTCATACAAATGTGTAATTCAGTCCATTGCTTTTTAGTCTTTCCTTTGGCCTTTTAATCTCTTCTTCTAAAATTAATCATAATTTTTTGTTTGGTTTCGGTATTTGTTGTTGTTGAAAACACTCCCTTAACCTTGATTTATTTTTTCATGCACCATTTCATTTATTGAATCTTTATTTGTTTGGTCTTTGCCTATGGTTTTTGTAATCTCATCAACCGGAATTGTATTACTAATTATTGGGTGGTATTGGTTTTTGTTTTGCATTATAAAAGAAATACTCAACCTTGATTTAACTAGTTGGTGCACACGTATATTGCACATGAAATATTTCGGGTTCTACTCTTTAATTTTTTATTTGTATACCGAAGTGTTGTTTGGCGAAATTACCATCAAAGTATCTGACAGGAAAATGCATAGCCTTTTGGTAGCCAAACTGACCTATAACTATAATCAGAATACCCAGCAAAAGAAACCCACAATGATTAACAGTTGACTTGTGAAAGCTAATTGGTGATTTGGTACCACAATCGCTATCATCTAAAACCATTTTCTTACCTCAAAGTTTTAGCTCTTTAATATTTAGTTGCAAAAACATTACAATCAGCTAGTAAACTTCTCTGTAACTCTCTGGAATGTCAGCAAGTCCATTTTCTAGAAGGGTTGTGTTTTTGGTTGCTGCAAACCAATGAACAGTGCTATTACTGGGCTCAGGAGTGCGTTTAAAAAGGAATCATTGATGTGTTCATGCTTGTACATATTGGTAACATTTAGTTAAAAGGCTTAGTTTTATCTTGCGTAGCTTCAAGATCAAAACACAATTCTCTCAATTTGCAATGCAATTCAGTGAATTCACCAAGTACTGATTTTCTGGAAAGTAAGAAACTTTATATAGCAAAAAGTAATATACTAAATTATTCTGTAGGCAAACTGATAAAATTTTCACTATTAAAAGTCTATATGCAACTTAGTTTTTGACCATGAAAAATGACCACAAAAATGTCCATTTCAAACACAAATGGACCTTATTTAGTCAACATTAGCATGTTAATGCAATAAGCTGTGTTATTGAAGATACAAGATCTTACTTTAACTAATCTTTTCCAGCAACCAAAAGAAATCCACATCCAATTAACTGTGACCAGGCCATAATAACCAGTATGACATCAGCTAATCAAAGTCGACATCGTTATGTCACACCCTGGATCGCCTAGGCATGTAACGTATAACGACCCACCTCATATGAGCACGTTATGTGAAAAACACGGTGCAACATCTAGTAATTCGGCCCAAACTCACATAAAATCACAAGTAGAGTTGATAATCGAGTTGAGCCTGTCGAACTTGTTTTTCTAAACGAGCCTAAAAAAATGTAAACTAGCCGCCGAGCTGAACCCGAACCTATCTCAAGCCAAGCTGAACTTAAGCCAAGCCAAATTAGCTTAATTATTTTACATATAAATGAGTCGAGTTTTGCGAGCTTGAGCTTAGTCTTTTTAGCTCATTTTTCTAAATGAGCCAAAAAAATTGTTCGAGTTCAACTTATTTTTTAAACGAACCGAGCTCGAGTCAAGTCCTATACGAGTCGAATCCAAGTAGTTCAATTATCAACCCTAATCACAAGTACTTTTGCTATTTACCTTAAAAAGTTAAACAATGTACATATTGAAGTGCGATAGTTTTACATGTTATAGTCATCCATATCAGACATTTATTACATTGTGCATGCTCAGACTAAACAGTTAAGTTCATAAATACCAAGTTCCTGAAGTGAAGTTGAGCTCTATGTCCTTCTTGTTTATATAGTTCTAGAAAGGTGAAGAAAACGTAGGGTGGGTGGCGTAGTGGAACATAGTAAAAGTATTACTATCGTCAATACTCAAAAAAACCTGGCGCACCAAAGTTGAGAAACACTCTCTCAAAGAGAATAAAATTAATAATATTGAATAAAAGATCTTCCAATTCTAAGGCTTAAACCTTATTTATAGTACTAAAGTCCTAATCCTTATAGGCCAAAGAATTTTAATTCTAATAGAATATAGAAACTATTTGTTACCCCCTTAACTTTTGGTTCGGCATTGGCATGTGGCTACCTCGCCCAAAGGTGCACATGCCTTAGCCAAATTAGGTTTTGCTATTAATGCAAAGTTGGCTTCCTCAGGACTTGGACTTGTGTTTTGTTGGATTACAAAGTGGTTTGGCAAAAGCTCAAGTGACATGCAATGACTATATCCCAAGCCCAAGTTATTATGACTCCTCGGCTCAGAATATGGCCGTTTCTGTCAATAGGGTTTTGTTCACTAAAAGGGGCGGAGCCACAAATTTTGTTCTGGGTGGGCACTTTATTACGCACTTTAATTTTTTTTTTCTTAACCAATTACGCTATATAATATATTTATATTTATTATATCACATTTGATACATATAGTCCATTTAACATAAAAAAAAAAAGCCAAAAAATAATGCATATTATATATATACAAAAATGACTAATTATCACCATTGTAAAAAATGGAACTAGTTGTCATTTTTGTAATTAAAAAATATCAGTTATTTACTAACAATCTATTAAATTTATTAAATAAGTGATGTTCCAAACACACTAAGATATTAACATAGTAAAACTATTTAACTAAAATTTAAGTGTTAAACATAGTAAAAAAAAATTTAAATTAATTAACACATAAAAAAGATTATAATCAATACTCGAATAAAAATAGAGACGATTTTTCATTAAAAAAAAATTTAAATGAAGGTCAATTATGATATATTTTCGGGTAGAGTTGGTGGGCCTAACATTTTTGTCTTTGGTTTTAGGTGGGCAAAGTGATATATTTATTCAAATATATAATATATATAGTTAGGTAATAAAAAAAAAAATTTGAGGGGGGGCACTTGCCCACCCTGGACTATGCATACCTTTGCCCATGTTTACTAATGCTATTATCGGGGGAAGAGGGGTTGCTTTGCTAAGGAGGTGCTAGACCAGCTTCCCCAGAGACCTCTATGCCTATAACCCTTGGCACACCAAAGCAAGGCATGACCCCAACAAATGTTTACCATGAGTGGAGACAAAACATTCCATAGTCCAAGACCCAAGATACGGGGCCGATGATTAGTGGGATTCGTCATTGGCGGAAAGCCCAATGCATGACTGAGGGAGGCAGCGCATGCATGGGTACATTAGACATGACCAGTGGGTTAATTGAAACCCCATGCATGGTTGAGGAAGGTAGCTCATGCATGAACACATTGGGCATAACCAGGGGTTAATTGAAGTCCCATGCATGGTTGAGGGAGGTAGCTCATGCATGGGAACGTTGGGCACAAGCAAGGTCAACTGGTGGGCTTGAATTGTGGGGGCATTGCTAGCTTGGAAGACTAAGTCATGGGCTGGGCATGACTTGGTATGAAGGTAAGGCAAATCAGGTGTTGTGGGCTCCCAAAGAAGGCAGGCGCACAATATTTGAGGCAGTTTCGAATAGTTGAGGCATGTGCACTGCAGATGGTGGCAGTTTCAGATAATTGCTGGTATGTGCATGGCATGCAAGGCGGTTATGTGCAGTTGCTGACATGTGCACAACACGAGGAAGATGCTGACATGTGCACACAACATGCACAACAGTTATGGGCAATTGTTGGCTGGGTCAGTCAATAGTTGCAACTACCCTCTACTATGATCAGCACATTGTGGGGAGTGACAGAGGGGCTCAGTCATGATCAACAGGTTGTGGGAAAGCTTTTTGGGCGAATTTGATTAATGTTTTGCATTACTTAGGTAGTTGGGCTTGTAACTGCCACATTTTATGCTATTTATAGGCATGTTAGGGTCTGCAGTGCAACCAAGAGAGTTTGGGCATGTTTTGTAAGTAGACCATAGCCCGTTTTCTTTAGGCTTGCTGAGAAGTAAAATGTTTGGCCATTTGGCTTGTAATTCTTGAGTGTTTGCTGTGAGTTTGTGTGCTTACCCATATTTTGTTCATTGTATACTTCTATGAGCGATTTTGTGCATTGGTTGAGACTGAGTGTTAGATCTCGTGCTATCACGAGATGGAAAATTCGAGTGAAATTTGATTCCGTGATAGTTGGTATCAGAGCTACAATTTTCGATTATAGTTCGTGGAAACGTTGTTGAATTATGTAAACGTGTGATCTGTCTATAGGATTTTTTAGGTGCCCTTGCTGGTGATGATGAAACCAGTGTTATCTGTGCAAATGGAGATTGTAGGCTTAAGAATAACCTTTGACAGTTACATGGTAGACACCGACGCTAAGATTAGGGCGATGATAAAGGATGTTTTGTCTCTATTGATGTTGTCAAGACCAATCTCAATAATTTTGAAGATGAACTGAACCTAGTGAAGAGGGTCATGCATTCTCAACCTGGTGTGAGCGAGACGTCTTCAAAAATTAAGTTCTTTGAACCTAAGGCCTTTGGAGTTACCCGGAGTGCCAAGGAGTTGGAGAACTTTTTATAGGACATGGAGTAGTACTTCAAAGTTGTCGATGTGCCTGCGGGAGATAAAGTGACCATAACCAGCATGTACCTCTTTGGTGATGCCGAGCTTTGGTGGCAGACACGAAGTGAGGATGATGCTACTGCGGGGCGAGCTAAAATCAAGACGTTGGATATGTTAAAGGAGTTGAAGGATCAATTCCTTGTTAACAACACGATGTGGAGTGTTAGGGAGTCGCTTAAGAAACTTAAGCACACGGGAATCGTTCATGACTATGTGACAGATTTCATTTCTTTGATGTTGGATATCAAAACATGTACGAGGACGACAAACTTTTCAATTTCATG